ACAAATTTTTTAAGTACCTACTACACGCCAACTTAAATTATCTTTCTTAATTCTTTCAGCAACCTTCCAATTAAGTATTATTTTCAGTTTTGCAAATGAGGCAAAAAGGGTTAGGTAAATTGCACTACAATTTACAACGATGATTTATGGAATTAGAATTAAAACTCAGTTTTCTGACTGTATGTTCTATTATAACCAACATTGAAAATTGCGTTTGTGGTCTTATCTTTTAGTAGTGTCTGAGAGTGAGTCATGAGAAACAGCACTATGTGGATGGGTTTGCAGCCAACCAGAGATGTGCAGACAGGCAGATGAGCTGACTGCTTTTTTTTTTTTTTTTTAAATGGAAATGACAGTTTAAAAAATGCTCTGAAAGAACAAACAAGTATGGTCACATCTTTTTTTATTTTGAACTCCCATGGTATACATTCCTCTTTTTGTGTGTTGGATTGCTTTGATGTATTTTAAAGAAGGATTCAAGCAATTAACTTGATCTGCTTTCTCTTGATGCTTTTACCCTGGTTTCAAAATGAAAAACACCATTTATCATAGTTCAAAAAAAACTTAAAAATGTATGAAGCACAAGGAATGTGTGTGACCCACTTTGTGCAAGAGTTAGTAGCAAAGCCTAGATTAAAAGCCAGGTCTCCTGACTCCTAATCTACATCTCCACAGTGACTCCTATGAATGTAGGAAGCATCTCCCTTCTGTATGGTTCAGGCAAAGTCTCCTAATCAGGCTTGGGGCAGGGACTCCTAGTTGGACTGTATTCTAGACCTGTTTCTTTGACATCCTGATCTACATTCCCATGTTCCCAATTAGCATTAATTGAGGGAGAAAGAGGAGAAAACTGAAGCCTCCCCAAAGCTCCCTGTTCCACAGCTCATGGAGGGGGTGGTCTCTGTAGAGAAAATGTTGATAATTACAGAAGTTGAGGCTGTGAATCATTCCATGGCACCAGCTCCCTCCTGGGAACTATTTCCTTGCGTCTCTCCCTGGCTTCTCCAGCTCAATTAAGCAGCTCGCTTGCTTTCTCATTAGCAAAACTTGTTAGCACTTTGGTCTATTCCCCTGAGTTGCATAGGAAAAAAGTTTTGTGGGAGGATTTGCTTCACTGGATAGGTCTGGCTCTCATGTTCTCTATGAGATACTGAGGTACCCAGGTCCCCCAAACAGGCCATGTGTAACAGTGGCAGGTCAGCAGTGGGTCCAAGGCTCCACTTGTGTGGCCTAAGGGAAGAGGAAGCAAAAAATCTAGACTGGCTAAGGATAGGGAAGTTCAATGCAACTGCCTCAGATCTAGCTGATGAGGAAATATTTAAGACCTGTTTTGCACACATTGCTCAAAGATTCCCAGGTGCATTGCATATTGTTGGGCCTCTGAGCAGAGGTACCTGTACCACCTTCTCTCTCCTCTCAATGCGCAGAACTTCTACAGACCCTACACATTGCTACAGCTTTTCAGAGCTCATCAAGAACTTTCATATCTCGGTAGTGCCTCCCCACTCAGGCAAGCACCTACTTCCTGAGCATGAGCTTACTCTGTTCCTGGCTCACCCAGAACAGAGACTGACTGCATTAGTAGGGAGATTTATAGCCCACATATTTCAGGTGAAGTGGAATCTTGGCTTCAGGCAGAAGCTGAATGAGAACCTCTATATACTCAAGCACCTGGATTTTTTTTTCACTCAAGGAGAGAGCCTTCCAATCTTGAGGTTAAAATATTGTCTTCAGTAAAACTCTCCAAACAAAATATCATCTTTTCCTGCTGTTTAAATAATTCCAGCTCTCTCAGGAAATTTTTCAAGTTGATATGAGGAGACTCAATGGTTTCCTCTATATTGATGTGATCTATGTGAAAATGCTTTACAGTGAATGATATCCAATTTAATTTTGCTATTATCTTGCGTGGGTTTTTTTTCCCTCTGATTCCTAAATATCAAACCACATTTGTATCTACAAGTGATGCAAATGTATTCTCCAATGGATCAGTGCTTCAATCTGTTATTTATACAGCCTCTACATCAATCCAGTACATGCTTAGGGATTGTGTTCAGTTGAGGTCAGAGTCCATGTACTGATCATACAGCTTTTATGAAGATGATGCTGATAGTGATGAAAATGAAAGTGATGATGAAAACATAAATAAACATGTAAATGCCACATATAACAACAATATGGTGGTTGTATACACAATGATAGCAATACTGGTTGTGGTGGTTTAGAGCACTACTTGGCACATTGTGAGTATTTGACAATGATTAAATCAGTGAATAAATGATAGGGGAGATGGTGAGGGTAGTGGTGATGGTGATTGTTGTGGAGACGGAGATAGTCAAAGCAGAAGTGATGGCATTGCAGATGTTTCTCACACTCTGGTAAGGTTAATAATGGAAAAACGCTTTTGCAGGGATATGGACCGAGCTGGAGGGCATTATCCTCAGCAAATTAATACAGGAACAGAAAACCAAATACTGCATGCTTTCACTTATAAGTGAGAGCGAAATGTTGAGAATACATGGATACACAGAGGGGAACAGCATGCACTGGAGCCTATTGGAGGGTGGAGAGTGGGAAGAGGGAGAGGATCAGAAAAAAACAACTGGAGCCTGGCACAGTGGCTCACACCTGTAATCCCAGCACTTTGGGAGGCTGAGGCGGATGGATCACCTGATCAGGAGTTCATGACCAGCCTGACCAACATGGTAAAACCTCATCTCTACTAAAAACACAAAAATTGGTTGGGCATGGTGGTGGGTGCCTATAATCTCAGCTGCTTTGGAGGCTGAGGCAGGAGAATCACTTGAATCTACTAAAAACACAAAAATTAGTTGGGCATGGTGGTGGGCACCTGTAGTCTCAGCTGCTTGGGAGGCTGAGGCAGGAGAATCGCTTGAACTTGGGAGGCAGAGGTTGCAGTGAGCCGAGATCGTGCCATTGCACTCCAGCCTGGGCAACAAAGAGCAAAACTCCATCTCAATTAAAAATAAATGAAAGAAAAAAGAAAAGAAAGAAAGAAGGTTAAAAAAAAGAAAAATAAGTAATAGGTATTAGGCTTAATACCTGGGTGATAAAATAATCTGTACAACGAACCCCCATGACACAAGTTTACCTGTGTAACAAACCTGCACATGGACTGCACGTGTATTAAAATGAAAGTATTATACATAGTTAAAAAATGGACAAACAGATTATTTCCTCCTCTCTGGTCATTTGGCCGATCTTATTAGAATGGAGCGGATATGCAGCTGATTGAGAGTCTTTTTGCAAAGTAATTTATAAGAAAGGTTAAACTCATTTTTGGAGTGATCAAGGTGTTGTTCTCCATTTAGGCACAAGGATATATGAGTTGGATTTGTCTCTTTTTATTAAAGTCTATGCAGGACTTGCAAAACTGCTAGTGGCCCAGAGGAGGCAATGCCCCTGGGATTGGATTCTAAAGTCCACAGTGAGGTTTGCGGAATTGAGAAAAGTTATTTGAGAAATAGAGCTGCCCTGCTGCACTTCCTTTTGCACAACTTCTTGCCCCAGAGAAGTCCTCACGGAAAGCTTTACACCCTTAGCAACTCCAGGGAACATACAGCCAGGAGCCCCTGGAGGCCCGCATTTCCAGGAATATGAAATATAAGTAGGGGAGTGTCTCGGGGTAGAAAGGATGGCGAGGAGAATGCTGTAAGTTCTAATGCTGTCAAAACCATCAGGTAATGGGCAGGAGTGGTGCGGAAAAGATGAGAGTAGTCAAAGAAGACAACTGGATGAAGGCTTTGAACCATGTTTGAATGAGGCTTATTAGGGTGTGGAAGGAAAACTCAAGTGACATTGGTGTTGATCCCCCTCTAAACCCATAATCATTTTCCAATAACTTTAGAGAAACATATGTTATCTGTGTCGTAAGAGTCTTAGGAAACAAACTCAGGCTTTTTTTTTTTTTTTTTAATTTGAGAAGAGGAAGCTGAGGTTAAAAAGTTGCTCAACTTAATGTCCATTGCCCCTGAGTGGTAACCAAATCCCTGACTTCAGAAGAGTCTCGGCAGGGCGCAGTGGCTCACGCCTGTAATCCCAGCACTTTGGGAGGCCAAGGCGGGCGGATCATGAGGTCAAGATCATCGAGACCATCCTGGCCAACATGATAAAACCCCGTCTCTACTAAAAATACAAAAATTAGCTGGGCATGGTGGCATGTGCCTATGGTCCCAGCTACTCGGGAGGCTGAGGCGGAAGAATCGCTTGGACCCAGGAGAGGGAGGTTGCAGTGAGCCGAGATTGTACCACTACACTCTAGCCTGGTGACAAAGCAAGACTCTGTCTCAAAAAGAAAAGAAAAAAGAAAATCTCTCCCTGTTATAGCAGACTGCTGGCTTCTTGGCTTGACTTCATGGTTTTTCCTTTTTGAGAATTCCTAGCACATATCCTTTGGGGATCATGTTTTCACCCAGCACAGTGTATACACTGGGTGAATTATCATCAGGCACTATGGGCCTAGGATTTTACAGTTTTCAAAGATTCTGCATTTCTTTCATTTTCCATTTTTTCTTCTTCTAGTCCTTACCAGGATAGTCTAAGCACTTCGGAGGGGCTTCCTGAAAGAAGCTTCAACATTCACTTTTGACAGATGACTTCTCTCTCTCCTCCACAGCCCAATACTGTTGGTTATTTTATCATTGGAAACTACGGAGGGATAGCAATAGGAATTTTCTGGCTCTCTTATTATTTGATGGTGGAGTAGGGGAGGAAATCACTGAGTCACTGGAGCACAGTGTTATAACTTAGAAAGGGTTTAAACTGGGACTAAGAGCCTTGGTTTCTAGTCCCAGCCCTGTTACAAACAGACTAGGATATGGGGACAACCATATCTGCTTTTGGGGTTTCAGTTCCTCTAGCGTAAAGTGAGGAAACATTGATTAGATACTGTCTCAAGTTCCTTTCAAGTGCTCAGATTTTCTGAATAGAGAAGCTTGAAGTAATTTATATTCTATCTTTACCCCTTGTTCCTAGGAATTATGGATCACGTCAATCATACCTGGATCCAGAGTTTTATCCTTGCTGGTTTCACTACCACTGGGACCCTACAACCTCTTGCCTTCTTGGGGACCCTGTGCATCTATCTCCTCACTCTTGCAGGGAACATTCTCATCATTGTCCTGGTACAGTTAGATTCTGGGTTGTCCACGCCCATGTACTTCTTTATCAGTGTCCTCTCTTTTGTAGAGATGTGGTATGTCAGCACCACAGTGCCCACACTGCTGCATACCTTGCTCCGTGGGTGTTCACCCATCTTACCAGCTGTATGCTTTATTCAGCTGTATGTCTTTCATTCCTTAGGCATGACCGAGTGCCACCTGTTGGGTGTCATGGCACTGGATCGCTACCTTGCCATCTGCCACCCACTCCACTACCATGGACTTATGAGCAGACAGGTACAGTTACGACTAGCTGGAGCCACTTGGGTGGCTGGCTTCTCAGCTGCACTTGTGCCAGCCACCCTCACTGCCACTCTACCCTTCTGCTTGAAAGAGGTGGCCCATTACTTTTGTGACTTGGCACCACTGATGTGGTTGGCATGTGTGGACACAAGCTGGCATGCTAGGGCCCATGGCACAGTGATTGGTGTGGCCACTGGTTGCAACTTTGTGGTCATTTTGGGGCTCTATGGAGGTATCCTGAATGCTGTGCTGAAGCTACCCTCAGCTGCCAGTCGTGCCAAGGCCTTCTCTACTTGTTCCTCCCACGTGACTGTGGTGGCACTATTCTATGCTTCTGCCTTCACAGTATATGTGGGCTCACCTGGAAGTCGACCTGAGGGCACAGAGAAGCTTATTGCCTTGGTGTATGCCCTTGTTACCCCTTTCCTCAATCCTATCATCTATAGCCTTCGCAACAAGGAGGTGAAGGAGGCTTTTAGCAGGGTCATTGACAGGATTAGAACATTTTAAGGGAACCTCAATGATCTAATTTGTCATAGCCCAGCTTGCTGGTAATTGTGAGAATCAGCTAGATGGTTTGTGAATCATGTGTTCAGAGTCAAAGAAAACACCAGTACAGAAATCAAATAGATCCGTAGTCAAGTGTGCTGCACACACCGTGCCTGAATTGGTCAAAGTTGGAAGATGTAAAGAGAAGGGGGTTATGGCCTCTGATTATCCCATACTAATGGGAAAGAAGTGCCGCAAAGGGAGAAAAAACGGGGATGTAAAACAAGTGGTTCAACTGTATTTATGACTTAGAGAGACAGTGCAATACTGAAAGAAAGAAAGAAGACAAACTGAAGCTAGGAGTGGCAGGTTGAGTCAAGATAAAATTCCTAGAGAAAGGTAAGAAGGTGGAAAACTAGGTTGTCAAAAAGAAGTCTAAAATTTTAGCTTGTATAAAGTTGCAGATGTGGATCAGTGAGCCATGAGCAGAATGCTTATCAGTTTGTGGCATCCAGGGACTCTGGATTATTATGTGACCAAAGGTAACTTGATGGAGAAAAAAACTGAAGTCCTGATCACAATTCTTTTCTCTCCAGCTCCTCTATTGCTTCCTCTGCTGAGCAGAGTAATCCCCCATTCCTTAATGGTGTGTGAACTGGGGAACATGTACCTGCTAGAGTATGGCATACAAATTAGTGAGAAAAATAGGACCAGACCTTGGCAGAGACTAAGTATTGGCTAATCTTGAATCCTTTTTCGTTTTCTTCATTCTTACAGATCTTATTGCTTTATTTTCTGTATGTTTATACTATGCCAGAAATAGTGACAGCTGCCTTCATTTTTCAAAAATTTAATCTTTATAATATCCCTCTGAAGAAGGAAAAACATCCCAATATTTACATAACAAAATTAGGAAGATTATTGAATTTTCAGTAAAGAGAGACAAATTTAAACCTAAATCAACTTCAGCTGACCAAGTGACCCTCCTCAGCCTCTTTCTCTCTGTCTGTAAAATGAAAGGCTGGCAGTAGATGAGTACTCACATTTCTCTCAGCTTAGGGAGTTTCAATTCTATGCTTATAGCACTTCTTAAGGAAAGCAGGACCTGAACTAGGTCCAGATGCACAAGATCTGAATTTCCAGAGCGGAGATGGAAAGGTGTTGCTACAAATTCAGGTGTTGCCATTTTTGCCTCTGTGATTCTGGGCAAAAAACATAAGCTCTCTCTGATGCCAGATTTGTTTTCCCTTAAAAAAATCGACATCAAAGTGTTCCAAAGTTAAATAACACATAGTAAGTATTTCATAAACAAGTTAGTCTCAGCACCCCAGAATCAGGATAGGGTTACACCATGGACTTTGAAGGCTATCTGCCTGTGTTCACACATCAATTCCACCATTACTTGCTGTGTGATTATATGAAGTACGCTACCTCTACCTCAGTTTCCTTACATGCAAAATGGGGAAATAATATTAAGCATATAAATATTAATCATTATTGCTTAAAATTTTCCACATAAATGTCTTCAGTGGGGATGTATTTCTTTGATAATGCTTAGTTTTACACAGGCATCTTCTTTTGACCTAAGGGTCCAAATTTACCTTTCTGTAAACTGAGGAGTAGTCCCTGCTTTCAAGAAGTCTATGCTGTTTCTCCAGATACAAGGTGCAAAACTCCGTTCTGCTGACAGGCTGAGTCTACTGCTTTTAGGCTCCTTTTCTCTCCTTCTGTACCTCACTTCACTCAGATTACTCTTTTGCAGGAACTATTTTGGGCTCAACAGAAACTCTTCTTTCCCTGAGGTGGCAGCACTAGAGGATGCCTCAAATTGAAATGGCTTAGATCACATTAATTAAGAGGTCATCGTGATAATAATAATTACTAAAACCATTATAACAATTATTATTAATTGCTAATATCTGTGGGGTGCATACTATGCAGAGAACATGAAGGACTTACTGTAGTGAAGACATAAGTAGTCATCTAACAACTCGAAGTGGCATGTATCTATTAATTTGTACTATAGTGTTTGATATCCACTCATATTTGGACAAAATAATAAATGAATAAGCAAACTCTTAAGAGTCAAATGGGTGTGACAGAGACTGAGTGCCCTGCTGAAACTTCACAAGAAGTTTTTTTTTTTTTTTTTTTCAGATCCATTTACAGCTGTAAACTCCCCTTGCCTTTCACTATGCACTTTTTTTTTCTCTTGAGACCTCCTTAGGCATTTCCTTTAGAATATAAAGCTCAGGTCATCTTTAGCACAGAGCTTCTCAACAGATACAAATAACAAACGTGCTGAGTTACCCTGCCCCTAACACACACCCTATGAGTGGTCAGATAAGGCCTATGGGAATGGAAGTCCTTGGACTCATTTCCTCCAGCAGAAAGTGGCCTTTCTGTTCACCTCAGTGTGGCCTACAGATACCGTCCCTTTTATAAGCGCTATGATATGAAAATAAAAGTTTGAGAAGTAATGCCTTAGTGTGACATATTGGGGTAAGTGCCCAGGATAAAGCCCAACTTTTGATTACTTCTCCTATGGCGACAATTGGACATTGACTCTAGCAAGATAGGCAATACGCAGTCAGATCTAAAAGGCAGCAGAATCAGACCATTTACTCGATACTAGCATCAAGGCTGACATTCTAGCTCATAGGACATTTAAATTCAAGTACATCAGAGAACAAATTGAAATGCTATTAATGTACCCCGGGACGTCAGATATAAACAACATTTGTGAGCAAACAAGGACATGTGACCTTGGGATCTATCACTTCATTTACATATTTTGTTTTAAAAGTTTATTTGCTTCAATAAATAATACCTCTAAAGGGTTCAAAAATTCGTTGTGTGTGTGAAGTTAAAATTTTTTCTTATGTTAAAAAAAAATTTAGAAAAAATAATCAGGTGATTTGAGGACCTGTCTCCTCCCACTCTATGTAATAAATATCTAAAGGGAAGCAACAGCGTTGTATGCATCATTTTCTACAGTTCTTAGAATAAAGTCTGGGGCATAAAAGATGTTTCAAATGTGTATTAAATAGATAACCAAATTATTGTGAATTCCCCTATTTCTCACATTACATTAGTTGCATATCATGTCATTTTTTCCTAACATTTAGAGCATGGTTTTTAAAAAAATGTATTACATAGCACATTAAATGTTTAGTTAAATAGTTACTTCAAAAATTATTCCTCTATTGATTTCTAAATTCCAATAAACATATGTTGTTTTTCCAAGTAGTAGCAATGATACGATGAATTTTTGAACATGTTGAATATGACTTTTTTCACTTAAATTTTTAACAAATAATTTTAGATCTCATCTTTCTCCTCAAATAATGAATCACTTGATGAAGGTATCAGTGTAACCACAGAACAAGTTCAATCTGGTTTAACCTTGTCAGTAACAAAATACAACAAAATGGTGACTTGTTTTTTACTTGCAATAGACCCTCAGGTTGTAATTAACCCAAGCGTGCCCAGATGAACTAAGTGTACCAGATTTGTGACCTTGGAGCCAACCAGAACAAAAAAGTAAACAACATGTGGAACCTAAGTATTTAGACCAAAGAATGGTGACCAAATTAAAAAGGAAGGGATGAACTGTTTTGCTGCAGCACAGTCATAAAAATCAAGGATCCAGCATAACCTCTTCTCAGGAACCAATCAGATAATGCTTTGTTCCATTTTCCTATCTCCCTCGTAGTGGCTCTCTGCCTGTAAAACTTGTGCCCAGACCTCAGTTCAGGGAGACAGATTTGAACATTGCCTCCTGCCTCCTTGCTGATCAACCTTGAAATAAGGCCTTTTCTTTCTTAAGAGCTGGTGTCATGGTATTGGCTTCTAAGCCCATGTGGCAGTGAGCCATTGCACAATAATACCAGAACTTGTCATTTTTCACACTCTATTTCTGATACAGAATAAATGCCAAGTAAGCACTCTTTATTGACAAGTGGTGACATAAAAGAGAAGAAACAATGCTCTTGGCTAGGCAAGAACTAAACTTGGAAGCCTCAATCATTTAGTACTCATAGCCGCACTAACTGATTCTAGATAATGTTTATAATTTTTACATATATACATATATATATATATATATTACTGCATTTTAGGTTTTGGGGTACATGTGGAGAACATGCAACATTGTTGCATAGGTACATACATGGCAATGTGGTTTGCTGCCTTCCTCCCCATCACCTATATCTGGCATTTCTCCCCACGTTATCCCTCCCCTACTCCCCATCCCCCTGCTGTCCCTCCCCTAGATTCCCCCCACAGACCTCAGTGTGTGATGCTCCCCTCCCTGTGTCCATGTGTTCTCATTGTCCAACATCCGCCTATGAGTGAGAACATGCAGTGTTTGATTTTCTGTTCTTGTGTCAGTTTGCTGAGAATGATGGTTTCCAGGTTCATCCATGTCCCTACAAAGGACACAAACTCATCGTTTTTGATGGCTGCGTAGTATAGCATGGTGTATATGTGCCACATTTTCCCTGTCCAGTCTATCATCGATGGGCATTTGGGTTGGTTCCAAGTCTTTGCTATTGTAAACAGTGCTGCAATAAACATTTGTGTGCATGTGTCCTTATAATAGAACGATTTATAATCCTTTGCTATTGTAAACTGTGCCATGATGAACATACGTGTGCATGTGTCTTTATAATAGAATGACTTACAACCCTTTGGGTATATACCCAGAAATGGGATTGCTGGGTCTAATGGAATTTCTATTTCTAGGTCCTTGAGGAAGCACCACACTGTCTTCCACAATGGTTGAAATAATTTACACTCCCACCAACAGTGTAAAAGCATTCCTGTTTCTCCACATTCTCTCCAGCATCTGTTGTCTCCAGATTTTTTAATGATTGCCATTCTAACCGGTGTGAGATGGTATCTCAATGTGGTTTTGATTTGCATTTCTCTAATGACCAGTGATTGATGTGCATTTTTTCATATGTTTCTTAGCCTCAAATATATCATCTTTTGAAAAGCATCTGTTCATATCCTTTGCC